GGGAAACCCGGGGATGGCGTGTGTGGTGGGGAGCTCGTCATCCCGCCTCATCGACTGCTCCATTCCCCAGTCCTTAAAGCGCTGCTCTGGACGCTTTTCAGATCGACGTGCAGCTGAACATCATGTCCTTCCTCTCGCCCCAAGATCTGTGCCATTTGGGAAGCACGAGTTGTTACTGGAGGGCGGCTGTGCAAGATCCGTTGTTGTGGAGGTATTTTCTCCTGAGGGATCTCCCCTTTTGGACATCGGTTGATTGGAAATCACTCCCGGATGTGGAGATTTTTAATAAACCCTTTTCAGAGGACAGCGATAATGCGCTGTACGATTACATGGCAGCGTAAGTACCTTTATATTCTACACTACTTAAATGTCTCTCCACAGCAGTAATATTTAGCCCACAGGCATGTTTTGGATTAAGATCGGTAAAGCTGCCCTGTAAAACACTGCTTACATTTTCACATGCCTCCATTGTTTGATTTGGAAATAAAATTTCCTGTTGTTTGGTAGTTTGGTCAGCTCTTCCTGTTTGGAATGCAACAGTAATGTAAAATGTTGTAAAAAAGTCAAATCTAACGTAAGGCTTTTTTTTTATGAACTACGTGTCTGCTGTGACCCAGAAATAATTAATCTCGGAAGCTGGGTGCACTGTTCATCTCGATAAAAATGTGTTCTTTGCTCTCAGTACAATGGCAAATGATTTCTTACTTTAATAAAAGGACTAAAAGGCCTTTAAACTGCAGCAAATTGAATGAATCTTTTTTTTTTTTCATCTGGTGTGCAGACAAGCATTTTTGAATGTGCACAAGATAGCAAGCAGCACTGTGTTAGCTCTGACAGTCAGAGGAGGTAAGACAAGGACTGTGGTTTCAGCTAGTGTTGAAAAGCATAGCAACTCTCATAATGTGTTTGGGTGACAGGGAAGAACTCTTTAAGACAAGGGGGTGGCTATGTGATTTTTTTTAAAAAACATTCAAGTCCCTTAATTTGCAGTAATTTGCAGTTAAATTTTTCAGAGATGACTTCATAAAGCTGTTGCTCCATGGTAAGTGCACTCATCTCTGCAATCTGTGTGCCTTTCATCCCCCCTTTACAGATAGGAAAGACACACCCAGAACTTGAAGTATCTACAGATTTTGAACATTGGTTTTAAATCTTCATAGGTGTGGACGCTTCAGGGCATCACCAGTTTGAATCCTGCTGTTACTGATCGCCCTTGTGTCTGTGAGCACTTCGTGGTTTCGCGGTCTCAACGGTTTGGGTGTAGAGGAGCGCACATTTAATGTTTCTTCTCCAACAGCAGCCTACCATGACCGCGGAAGTAGTCTGAAGCTGCTTTTCTGGGATGTCTGTCACTTCTGTGATTGACCCTTCTTCCCCTTGATTACCAAAGTCCTTTCATGCCTTCTAGCTTCTGCTCAGATGAGCAGGTCTTTCAGAACATGCATTCCCTGTGCCTACTGGGGGGGTGGGCGGGGAATGGTTCTTTTCAGGTGGAGTTACCTGTTTCATCGTTTGTGTTTATTAACACAGAAGCAGCCTAAGCAAGGTTTGCAATGCATTCAAAAGTCTCATATTTTTTATAGTGTATGTGACCCATCAGCTCTGTTATTTTACCAGTACTGTGTGTTCACCGAGGGTGGGGGAATTTGTTTTATTTTATTTTTAAAAATAAACTAAAACATCCAGAGACAGAAGTATACTAACGTCCAAAAAGTTGGTATTTGGACTTTGAAAGGACTGATGCCTCTACCTGCTTTGTACTGGTGCTTGAAACTATCAGTTTGGAAATTTATGATTTGTCACCTGTTCTTGAGTTGTATGAGGAGTGTGGGACCTAAATCAATCTATGTTGTTCGATTAATACCTCTTCTGTATTTTGTGTTTAATTTCTAGTTGCATCTATTTTACACAGATACAAAAAAAGCTGCCCCCAGAGCAGAAGAAGTTTGAAATCAAGCCGTCCCCGGTATGGGGCTGTGACTTCCTTTTTGCAGTCACTGGTAACTCAGGCAGAACCCCGCTTTGCTATGTTTGGGCCGGGTTTGGAAGAGCTGGATGACTCTTTAGTGCAAAAGATGATGACATGCCCAGAAATTCTGCTAGTAGCTGGCCTACCTCAAAGACAAATTCATGGTAATGCTGGTTTTGGCTTTTTTATTTCGTAAACAGATAAAACGCAAAAAACATGTCGGGAGAAATGGAGAAAAGGGATGTTATTTTCTACCCTTGAAACTCAATAGCATAATGGTAAAAAAGAAACCCACTAATTTTTTCTCTCTATTTATATGTCTGCACAACATAGTGCTTAGGGACATACGGTTTAGTGGTGGATTGGCACTGCTAGGTTGATGGTTGGAGTCAATGATCTTAAATGTCTTTTCCAACTAAAACAATTCTATGCCAGCTCTGGAGCCCTCAACATAAGATGGATATCAACTAGTTGGAGTGAGTCCAGGGAAGGCCACGACGACCAGAGGGCTGGAGCACCTCTGCTATGGGGACAGGCTGCGAGAGTTGGGCTTGTTCAGCCTGGAGAAGAGAAGGCTCTGGGGAGACCTTATAGCACCTTCCAGTGCCTGAAGGGGCCAACAAGGAAGCTGGGGGGGACTTTTTACAAGGGCCTGTAGTGACAGGACAAGGGGTAACAGGTTTAAGTTGAAAGCGGAGAGGTTGAGAAGAGATATCAGGAAGAAGTTCTTCCCGGAGAGGGTGGTGAGGCACTGGAACAGGTTTCCCAGAGAAGCTGTGGATGCCCCATCCCTGGAAGTGTTCAAGGCCAGGCTGGATGAGGCTTTGAGCAACCTGGTCCAGTGGAAGGTGTCCCTGCCCATGGCAGGGTGCTTGGAACTAGATGGTCTTTGAGGTCCCTTCCAACCCAAACTATTCTGTGATTCTATGATTCTAATGATAAATGCAGTGAACATTTGGGATAAAATTATAGCTGCAGTGAGCTTATGATTAAATTTGCACAATGTTGGAGGGATCAAAACTTCTGTTTTGATCCGAAGTTCCCTGTCACACCTGCTGTTGTAATGGATGAATGCAGCCAGAACTTTCTTTAGCTACTGCTTGCAATAAGTGGCTAAAAAGCACATTTGTGCTTTAATACAAGAAGTCAAGACTGATCCTTTATATGATTCAGTCTTGTGGTGTTAAGTGATGTAAATTTAATTTGGAAGAGTTACAGGATTCTTTTGTGTTTTAAAGCATAGTTTTGAGCATCTTTAATTTCAGTTCAGTCCAAACCAGAGACAAAAATGTATTACTTTGTAACTAATGTTTATTTCAGCATAGCAGAATTGGAATGATTAAATTGTATTTATAGAAAGTGTGAAAATATTTTTAGTATTGTTACTTCTTTTCCTCTCGTGTCCTTTTCAATGCAGCTTGTTGTAAGCAGACTAGAGCCTTTGCTATGCCAGTTTCGGCTAATAAACACAGGTCTGGCTCCTCTCTGAGTTAGGTTTCTAGGTTCAAGTGTAAGTATCAGAACATGGAAATGCCTCCTTGTTTTCTTTTAATACTATTGAACTGATTTTAATTAAATTGTCTGATCAATTAGGGTATGTATAAAATTTCATTGTAAAATAGTAAATATGCTACCCCTAGCAGCAGCACCTATTGCAGATACCCATTTTACAGCACCACTGGTATTTTCAGCCTTCCACTTAGTTGTATTCAGTAACCAAGTAGTTGTAATCTCTTTTTTTTTTTCTCTGTAGGAATTGGATCAGGAGTCAGTTTTCAGTTTAACAACAATCAAAAATTCAATATACTGACATTATATTCGACTACCAGGTAAGATTTGCTCACCACCAAAAAGTACAGGTACAGTTTCTCAGTAATTTCATACTTTTCATCATGTTTTTGTTACATAATTTTTATGTGTCTATTCACGTGCATGGATACTCCTTATAAACTGAAGCTTCCACGCATATCTTCACTTTTTCTTTCTTTCTCCAAGCACTAAATTTTCGTGTGGAAGGTATAAGCCTTTTCTAAACCATATACACAGCAAACATGTATGAAAGTACATAACAGGTGCTTCTATCCCTCTTGATACCTTAATTGGTTCCCTTTTGAAACACTATATAAGCTTTTCCAGGGTGTATTTTCCTATGCATCTTGCAGCTTGCTGACCATCTGTGTATGTACAGTAGGAAAGAATGGGGGATGGGAGGGCTTGGGGAGAAATGAAACTGTTCTGCTGTCTCAGGCCATTTTTCTGTCCCTTTCCTGTGCTGCCTACAGTCTCAAAACTGAGATTTTGCGTTCTCAATTAACCTGACTACTGAAGTACTGAAATACCTTTCAGTGTGGAAAGGAGGAGAGCAAGGGAAGAGCAAGCCGTGGCTGTGAATAAGATGTTCTACCAAGAGGACAGCGTAGTAGGGAATCAGCAAGCCGTGCACTACAGCGTAATAGCGCAAGTGAAAAAGGTGTGCGAAGTAGTTGATGGATTCATTTATGTTGCTAATGCAGAAGCTCATAAAAGTAAGGAGTTTCTCTTTATTTTATTTATTCATATGTTGTGAATGATTGAAATATTATAAAAGATTTCAAAGAATGTGCAATACATCAAAATCCATGTTCCAGTTCTTTCAAAATCTGCTTTGTTAGTGCTATTTCTTCATGGCTTACCCAGTCGAAGAGATCCTATCATAGGCACTGTCCCTCATCCCCCTGTGAGGGGTTATGGCCCTTTCTTTCTATGGTCAGTGTGGGTGGTTGCTCTCTAAGATACATGTAGGAAAAGATCTGGATTAAAAAACAAAACGTGGGAGAGGAAGGCAGAAATGCATTGGTGGTGGTGCAATAGCCTGGAAACAGAAAAAATAGGAAAACTGCCGTTAAGGGTCCAGTTAGTCCAAATCGGGGTAGCCCTATAAGAGGATAATCCAAATTCCTGCTACGGTAATCTTCTGTACATTCGTCAACTTTGAATGGAGGGAAAGGGATAGCTCAGAAAAGAAGAAGGTAAAAAATAATGTGAAGGGACGTACTAAGGTGAGAAGTGTGGTCAGTAGGGAAGGGCTGCTGACTCTACGGTGTGTGAGTATTTCTTAACGGCCTGTTGCAGTTTTGTCTGCAAGGTACTTGGGAAAACACGCTGACGTTAAAGACTGGAACAGGCTGCCTGGAGAATATATGGAGATCTTGAAATAATTTGAGTGTGACATGAACATCTGTGTACATGTTTTAGCCTTGTGATAAGCAGAACTAGATAATTTGGCCACATCCCTTCCAGGCCTCTGTTTCCTCACCTCTGAAACCTTAAATATTTGAAAAGTTAGGAAAAAAAAAAATTGTCCTTGGGATTTACATATATTTAATACTCATGTATTAAAAATTGTTTCTTAGAGCCGGATCGTCAAGAGGAACTGGCTCGTATTTTGGCAATGATTGATCCATCCCTCGGGCCTCCGAACAGACCTCTGCTGATTTTGTCTTGTGTCTCTCACACTGGTGTGAAAAGAATTCCGTGTGTTTACATGGCACATCAGTTGCAACTAAATCTGCTACAGCAGCCCTGGATGGTACTTGGTTTTAAACCTTTATTTTCTATTTCTCTGTGGCTTAAATTTAATTTAGGCTTACGATAGTTCCTGAACTGTATCTACCTAAGTAAGTGTGCAGCCTTCAACGCTATACGTGAGCTCTCCCCTAAGTGAAGAATCTAGTTTCTTTGCCCCACTGAGGTGAAGCACTAGCCTGTCTGGATGTAGGGGAGCTGAGTGGATTGCCCAGCAACAGACAGGAAACTTCAGATGGAGAGAGAGTGCAAGGAAGGACGAAATGCTGGTGTTGAAGCGAGTAAGGAAGCTTCAGTTAATTTAAATCTGCATTTCCTGAGTCACAAACCAAGGACTTGGAAACAAGGTAGACTTTTCTGCCGTTTTCAGGAGGCTGTTAATTGTCACTCACTCGGCACAATGTATTAAGTTTTTGACACATTGGGTTTTTTACCTAATGTGAGGTCCTGAAGCTGTTCTTTTGTGCTTGTCAAGCACAGTGTGTATCTATAGGGCTCAGACACGTGTAATTTCTACTTTTGGCGATACTGTGTAGGTGAAGAGCAGTACTTAATCAGAAAAAAACAAAATCCTGATTTGAAATAATTACAAGGAAGGTGCTTGCAGGCTTTTTAAAAACCATGTTGTTTATAATAGTAATTTTATAATATGTTACAAGATCAGAGAATTTTTAATATGCATTGAATTCTAAAGCTAGCAGCACTTTTGCTTGAAGACTTACAAGAAGAATTTTCCAGTAGATTCTCATCCCTAAGTATGATGTTCCAGAATAGCTGATGGAACAATTGAGATAAAATAAAGGTCTAAGTGACCTTTAAAAAACAGTGATAAAGGTTTATATTTGATATGAGTATTTCTGACTTTAATGATAGACATGGAGTGATGCTAAAATACTGTTAGAACCTGTTACCTGTTATCTCCAATCCATTAGCTTTTTTTGTTCTTACAGGTACAGGACACTGTAGCTGCAACTTTAGCTGGATTGCTGAATGGAATTGAGTGGCTTCTGGAAGAAGTGAATCATAAAAATGCACAGTAATGGAACCTTGCACCGTTGTACTGTACAGAGTTGTGGGTGTTTTGCGGTTCAGGTGGAGTGAGACTCTTGCCCTGACAGCACTGTCAAAGGGAGATTTAAAAGGCACACCTGCATACTTGTGACTGCACGTACTTTGATAATTAACATTTTTCCAGCTATAGTCCTGAGTTACGAGTAGGATTGCATGGATTCCAGCAGCTGATGAAGAAGTGAGTCTGGAGTGCAATTGGGGTGGGTTTTCTTCTGTCTTTCAAGCTGGGGCCTTGAGGGTGCAGTCTGTGCTCAGTATATCTGGTAATCAAATCTCTCCTGTAAATATCCCTAACACTAGGTTAGGTTGTCAGCACAGCCCCATGCACATGTCGCATTTATTGAGTACAGTCATTGGAGATCTTGACAGTGGCAGTTCCCAACCAAAACTGTACATTGTACAGCATGTAGTAGGTTGACAGAGGGACCGTATCTCTTTCAAAAGAGCAGACTCCCCTGTAATTTTTTGAGAAACAATGCCTAGACAAGAAATAGCACCTGCAGGAGATTTGTTGGCCCAGATCAAAATTCTTAGAAACAACCAACCTATCGTGTATTAATTGTTTTTTTCTTATTTGTTGTCCTGCTTATTAACCAACCACGGAACACTTCAGCATCCTCTGCTTTCTGTCGTTACGAAATTGTAGCTTGAACTGGACATGCCTTTGATGTAATGGATGAATGTTAAGTAGAGTCGATAGTAGTTCAGGACGTTTAGGAAATACATAGGCCCGGTCACTTACTCAGGTAGTGGTGGCCATTTGCAGACATGAAGTGTTCTTGGCTTGGAATTTTCTACACAGTTGCAAACACTTTTATAAAAAGGGAAACAACATTTCAGAGCTGGAATTGCATTTTCCATAGTGATGTCGTTTGGGGTAGTCCTAGTCTTCCACCCTCTGCATGTGTTTTAATTATTGGTTGAATGTTCAGAAATTTCCCTTGGATTTTTCGTTTATGCAGGTATTTGTTTTGATCTGTGGGTTTTTTTTTTCTGTTTTGCCCTTTAAAATAGAGAAGACACAGAAGATTTTTGAGTATTTGGGGGAAATTCCATGCTTTGTGACTGGGAGTGTGTGACTTTCCCACTGGTCATAATAATTCCATAGTGATCTGTCTGCAGAGGGTTGAATGCAACAACCTGCCGCACTGTTAGCTACTACAAATACTTTTTTAAATGCAAGATTCCGCTTTCTTCATCAGGAAGAAATTACTTTTTAAAGAACAATATTTACAGTCTTAGTGTGGTAAGCCACGCCCCTCTCCAGACACACAGTGTCTGCAGCCATGCTGCCACAACAGATAACAGATTATCATCGTCATCATTAGTCATTAATGAGCAATGTTATGGAATGTTATCTGTTTAGTTAACATATTAATTCAGTGGCATTTTAAAAGGTCAGGATAATTTGGAGAATATATTTTTTCTGAACCTAAGTCACATCAATTACATTAAAGGTAGGGGGTAAGGTAAAGAGTTAAGAATTACAAGTTTTAAGGATGCAGCCTAGGCAGCCAACTGGGAATTGGAGCCCATGCAGTCACGCAGCTCCAGCACCCTGGGATGGCAGAGCTGCTGGTGGGTAGCTTGCACGGTCGAGCACTGTGGTGGGTCAGCAGAGCCGAGGAAGGCGGGCGTGCGCTGTGCGAAAGAGCGCCTGGGGTGCGCAGAGCTGTCCTGGGGGTGACCCAGCCAGCCTCTAGCGAGTTCACCTGCCAAGTAGCTGCAGAGGTGCACTGCAGATCTCGTTCCGATTTCACTCAGAACGCTTCCTGCTGTTTAAATTCCTGAGTCCGCCGAGTTTAGATGCGTAGTAAGTGAAATGAGCTTGGGACTTAAATTGTTGCAAATTCAAAATCAGTCGATATGGAATATTAGATTGTTACCAAAATGTATTTTAAAACCTTGATATATATATATATAAATCTAAATGGCCTTGTATTTATCCTAGACAATACAACTGTGATGGGTTTGTGAGAAATAAAACCATCAGGATCTCCGTCCCAGGAATCTTGCTGTCCTTGGGATGAAGGATTTTAACAGTGCTAGAAAGAAAATCGCTTTCCTGCCCACCGAGGCAGGTTGTTTACCTAAACGGCGGTCACCGCATAAAGCAAAAGGTTAAAATGACCATACATGTGATGGATAAGAAAACCCAGTTACCG